AGAGGAGTTCCCAGCCACTGAGTCAGTTCTCCCTCTCTCTCACCTCTACCCGAGTTTCCCCTTTCGCTGTCTGCAAATTCCTTCTCCCTTGGAGGAGTCTTCACTCTTCAGCAGCCCCTAGCAGCTTCTCTTCCCCCCCAAAGCAGTCTAGCTCACCTTGTATCCCCCTGCATGACATCACCCTGGTCTCATCCAGTCAGGGAGCACCACAGTCCAGCCTTTGTCCCAACCAATCTGCCCGAAAAGTCCTTGTTCTCCCTGGGTCAATGAGGCCAGAAGACTTGACATATTTTGCCTCAATACAAGGCCCCAGCTTTCCATGTGCAGCACATGGCCAGAACGACAGGGGCCATCTTGCTCACATAAAACACACACACACACACACACACAACCAAAAGCACAAACTGTGCCATACATAACCCAAGTGTGCATGGGTGTTACAGAAATAACTTCACCAACACCAAGGCATAAATTAGCCAAGCCACAAGAAAGGAAAAGGAAAAAAGTCACTGGCCAATGTTTCAGCTTGGGGAAGCACAACCCATGATCAGTTGGTAACTTCTGGGAGCCTGTTTGTATGAGGATGCACTCCCTAGCAGGAGTAAGCAGAGCATCATTTGGCCCTTTGCCTCATTGCTTGAGGAGTATTGATTTAGAACGATGAAGGTTTATAGCCTGCTTTCTCTCGTACAGCAGAAGACTGCATAAATTCTTCTGCTACATACCCTTATTTATCATTGGTGGTTTTATATATTCCTCAGTGAATCCCGCGTTTGTATAGCGTAAGTCATGGAGCTGTCCATTGACGCAAGTGCTGATTTACACCTGTAAGGCTGGAGAGATGGAGATAAATGTTATTTTGCTTCTCTTTGATACCAATAACCCTTATGTCTTTTTCCCATGATAGCTCTGCTTATTTTCCTTTTTCACAGTCCACCAGACTTTTAAATGTATAATGAAAGGAATATTGAGTGGTTGTTACATAACAATTTTTTGCCACTTATGTAGCATGGTAACACTGATTATTAAAATATCAAGAATACTTGCTTTTTATCTAAGGATCTCAAAGCACTTTACAAAGATAGTTGAGCACCCATAGTCCTTTTGCAAGTCTCTGTTTCCTTAAGAAATGATCTGGCACCTCTTGCTGTGGTATCGGTGCTCTTCCCAAAGGTGTATGGGGTTTTTCTTCCCACCACCCTTTGAAGGGAATTACTGTTACTGCTGTTTTAGAGATGGGAAACCAAGGCTTGGTGAGGTGGGGTCAGTGTGTCATGCAAGAAGCCTGTGCAGAGCCAGGAGTCAATTCCACCTTCACTGACTCACAAAGTAGTGCCTAAAGGGATGTACTTTTGCATATTTTTAAGGTATCCTGAATCCCTGGGGAGGGGACGGGGAGGGAAGGTTTTCGAATGTATGGACGCAGATCTCCATTGTCCTCTGTCTTTTTCCTATGGTTTACAGCCATGCAACAGAAGCAGTCAGAACAGTAAGGGGTGTTAGCTTCCTTGCACTGGGGTCATTGGTTGCTCAATTTGCAAGGCACTGGGGAATCTGACCCTACAGCTCTTATGGAGATGGTAATATTGACAATGCAAATAGATAAGCACAGTTTCTTTTTTCTTTTTTTTCAAATTTGGCTTCTACATCCAATTTCCCAGTTGCCTCCACACCTGAATTTCTCCCCCTTAAATCAACTCAGAATCACAGTACTTTTTAGACAACAATCTCAAAGCACTTGACAGATTTGAATGGTTCCTTGTCATGCATCTCTTAGCTACTATAGCCTGAGCTCTTATTGCTGTGATAAAGTGGAGGTACATGAGACAGAGAGGACAAAAGAAGAAACGAGTCACAGAGCTTGGAATAGAACCCAAAGGGCCAAACTTGCAGTGTCCTGCATTGCAGTCAGGCTGTGAGATCTTTCCGTTACATGCCATCTTATTCAAGGAATGACCCCCTTGACTTCACTGGGATGTTGTATCGTGTAAGGTTCTGCTCATTGTTATAATTCATATTGCAGGTAAAGTCAGGTTCCCATGGTGCAAGTGCATAATAAGAGGCATATTTTGTTGCAAAAAACAGATTCAGTAGACAAGACAGAGGCACAGAGAGGTGTGAAGTAACTCACCTAAGCATTGCACAGCAAGTTGGTGGCAGAGTGGTGATAAGAATCTGAGTCTCTGGACCCCTTGGCTAGGGTGCTATCAACCGAACAGCATGAGCAAGAATATCAGACACAGTCGCCTAACCATCAGACAGTGCTTTCTCTTCGGTGCTATCAGAATGTAACTAATAGGAACAACCATTTACATTCCCATCTCACAGAGCAGATAAGTGGAAAGATCAAGTACTATGCATACAAGTATTTGAAAGGAAGCAGAAAGTATTTGAAACGTCTCACCTCCCTTATAGATTATCCCCAAGCTTTTCATTTACCTTGGTGTCTTTCAATGGAGTAGCAGGATTTTCTGGTTGCCTCTCTCCATTTTAATGTTGTGCCTAGGGACTGCGATCCTGAAATGTTGATGGGCAGATACGTGCTGGAATATGCGGAAGCTCTCACAGGCTGACAGAACGCTTGAAATTGGGAGCTCCAGCCTCTCCTTGTTGCTTTATTTATTTCTCTTTTTGGGGTGGCTGTGGCAGACAAGACTCTTTCTATTCCTATCATCTCCCCAACCAACCACTTAGCGTAAAATTGCCCATAAAAGTGAGCTTAAATTACAAGTGATAAAACGACAGCCTAGTCTATCTGCAGCTGACCCTTTCTGTTTTACACTGTGCTAAAGCTTATATTCTTTGTGACAAGAGCAATGAAGCAGTGGCAAACACTTATCTTCAGCTAAGTCACCTTAAATTGAAAATCCTTGTTTTTGCTGGCTTTGGAGAGCATTGTGGTCCTTCATTTACTCCTTTACTCCAAGCGTTGTTCTGTGTAGTCATCAGAGCTTTGGGATGAACCCTGTTCCTTACATGGGTTTATCTAAGTGGACTACGTCATGGGTGCAAGGGAGGAAGGATCCTTCTACCCACAGATGCTAGCCATTATCCCTGTGTACCCAGCACCCCCTGGAGTACAAGTGACCCTATAAGAGAAGGGGGAAGATGCAAAGTCCTGTAGTTCATACTTGTGTGTACTGGCCAGCATAACTCACCCATCCCAGAGGGGCAGTTCACTCTGAGCCTTTTTAATGTTATGGTTGAATCAAAGCTATAGATTGGAGCATGGATCTTGGAGTCCAAATATTCCTGAAGGTGATACCAACACTTATCTTCCCTAGAACCCGCAAGAATGGTGCTATTTTAGGCTGCTTTGGCATATAGTGAGTATATTACAGGAAAGCTGGTTCCATAAAATAAGTTTGATTCAAGTGATTTCAAATTGATTCACTTAGATTAAATGGAAACATAAACAGAAGTAGGTCTGTATCTAAGCTTCTTGATTCCAAAGGAGTGAACTTAGGAAAATTAAGGGAACTAGTTGGTGAAGTGAACTTGAGTAAAGCATTCAAAGAGTTAAATGTGGTGAATGCTTGGAGTTTCTTCAAGTCAGAGATGGAACAACTGTAAAGAACTTGCCTCCCAAGTATGGGAAACTACTGTAGGGAAGGACTCCAGATCAAGCTAGATAAATACTCACTTCTGAGGGAATATTAGAAGGAAGCAGAGCAACACAGAATGGAAAAATGGATGAACAAGTCAGATATTAGAGACCAGGAAGTATAGGGATAAAATGAAATAAACAAGAGGCCAGCTGAGTTAGTCCTTGGGAAAGGCGTCAAGAGGGATGGGAGCTCATCAGGGGAAAGACCTAGATTTATAAGGTCCCCTGTAGAGGTGTGTGAAATGGGCCCTATTCGATTTGGATTCAGATTCAGCCCGAATCAGGGACAGTGATTCAATTCACTGATTCAGATCACTGTCCCCAATTCGATTCAGCCAAATCTGAAGTTTTTATGCTGATTCAGAGAATCAGCAATTCCGCCATAGACACAGCTTTAAATGTTTTTTCTACATACCTCGAGGTACCAGCACAGCTCATGATCACTGCAATGCTGGGACGCATGGAGTGCCCCACAGGAGTGCAGGGGGTCCTCCACGTGCTCAGTGGTGAGCTTCTTGGTCTGCTGGAGAGTGCACAGGGCCCCCCCCCGCACCATTCCAGCTCAGCAATCGGCCACAGGGGGACCCTGGGTAACCCCCCAGACCCAGGAGGCACTAGTCTCTGAGTCAGGAGGGGCACGGGGGGGTGGGCCCTGCACGCTCTGTGGCGGACCCAAAAGTAGACTTGAAGTGCTTCTGGTCCACTTCCAGGTCTGCTGCCAAGCACACTGGAGACCACCCCCCACCTTGCGCCC